CTATAATTTGAACATGTATCTGGAGCTGCACCACCAGACGATGGAGGGCTGTGCCATCTGAAAACACTGACAGGAATTTTAATGCTTAAATTATGTATTCATTAAACATAGAAAAAACTGTACAGTTCATGTTAGAATAACAAATTTATTTAAATTAACCTCAAACAAAATTAATTAAATGCTGATGTTTCAGGTTAGGATGCCATACTCATAATACAGTAACAATACTCTATTGCACCTATCCATACAACTCATGTCAATTTGCACAATATTAAGCTGTATTTAATTTTTTTTTCTGTCTGTGTCTTGTGTCCATGTCTCAGCATGTTGTGTTAAAATTGTCAGGTTGCCAGTGTTTCTTTCATATTCATTATTTATATACGATTCATCACTGTTTTCTCTCACTATGACCAATGAGAATTTCATATCAGCGTATGACCCCTGGATCATGAATATAACAAAGATACTTTACTTGGTTTCAGTCCAGGATTTGTATTCTCAGTGTGCAGGTCGGCTACTTGGGCACCATACACTGTACCTCTATCACTTTTCTCACATCACATTAACATAAAGTTAGAGATTCTTACTAAAGTTAGGTCTGTAAGAACATGGTGTAGGTGTGCTGTTACACATTCATAATCAGTTTATAAAATTTATATATTTATAAGTGTCATGTAATAAGGAAACCGAAGTAACATAAAATGAACTTTTACCAAATGTATAATTTATTAGTCTGCATTACCTTACTTTTCTTTTGACAAGATACTCTGCACTGGATCATCTTTGTGTTCTCCGTGTCGTGCTGAAGTTGACTGTGACATCTACAAATGTAACTTACCATGAAAAAGGGCTGTAAGTGTGTTATATTATATAATTCAAATGATTAAACATTGATTAACATTGATTAAATGCATAAATGTTATTAAAAACTTAAAAAATAACCATATTTCTTCCATGTAATACTTCTGAGACAAAGATATGACCAAAATACTTCTTTTGAATGTCTTGTTGGATGTTGAAAAGACTCTCCCTGAGGAATCGGAATGAAAGTTTTCATGGCGTCTTTTTATGACGTCTTCTGAATTGGGTCCTGCACCCGTCTTGCAGGTCCACAGATGTCAAAAAAATCTCCTAGCCAAGCGTTCAAATATTTAACTGCATATCTAGATCTACAAGGGGTTGGAGTCAGGCATCCAAATACTGGACCTCATTTGCACATCATACAGACATGCACACCTCTGCTACAGGTCTGGCGGACGTCTCATGTTTGCTGGGTAACCATGAGTTGATAATAGTATTTTTTTTTTTCATCCAATTTGACTTAGATTTGCTAACTTTTTCACTGCACCATGAAGGTCACTTGGGGTCGTCTTTGTGATGTAAGATCCTGTCCATCATGTTCTGTTTTTTCTAAAATGTCTTTAAAATATCAAGTCAAGTCCCCTTTTTCCAGCTGTGTCGCCTCATATTGGAGGTAATGTAAATTTGTGCAGAAATGTTTTTCAATTGTTTTTATGCTGCTGAGCCTCAAGTTTGATTTGTCACATACACAAAAGGGTTTCACTACACACATGTACAGCATATATATTTGTGTATGTGACAGATAAAGCTTGAAACTTGTGTTCCTAACTGCTTTGTTAATATGGAATATTATTTAGCACTATACGATGTAGAATATTATCATTATGGTATTATTAAAAAGCATGCCAAATACCCATGATGTAATCATTACAATGTAATCATTACAATGTAATCAACACAATGTAATCAATTGAGTATGTATAGTATTTGCACCTTTTGTTAGCCTAAGAGTTTCTGTTAGCTACTTTGTTAGCCCTGAATGTATGAATATCCACCTTTATTAGTGTTATACCTTATCACTATGTTGAAGAACAAATAATATCAACCCTCTAATTAGACAATGTGCAACAGGCTGAAGCTGCCAAAGTTTGCTACTGAAGGAAGGGATTCATCTGAGTTCACCAGAAGTCCACGGCTGATCATTTTTAAAAAACCAAGCAGACATGGTCACGCCACCATTAGTACAGTATGTTCGGCCGAGGAACCAAACAGTAAAAGAAATAACTGACAAACTTATCAACTAGGGGCATGGATTAAGGGAAAAAACAATGATTGTGAATGATTGAAGGAACGATGATGCTCAAGTGACGAGATATTGTTAAATGATAAGAACTTGTATAAAAATTGGTGTAAAACAGTATTGAGCACACTTGTAAGTGTCCGGCCTTGGTTGTAACTTCATTCTTGCAATAAAGACTGAATTTGGATTTACACGAGCGGCTTCTGACTTCTGATTTGGCAGAGAAGGAAAAACCACAGCATTAACTGAACATGGGCCCAGTTTGATGTGTTTATGTTGTTTTCTGTGTTGTTTCTCTTCAAATCTGGCACTTGATTCCAAATCCAGTCCTTGTTTTCAGTTCTCCCAGGAGGTTAGTTTCATAATTACTGATTCTGATTGGCCTGAGGCTTCACACCTGGCTCACAGGTAAAGAAAGGCTGGAAAACCGGCAGTGCTCAGACCGTGTGGACTGTGATTTGAATAGCCCTGGTATAGAGCCTTACAGTAAGTATGTTGATATGCAATGTTTACCTAATACGGCCAATAAATTCAAGAAAAATGGGTGAAACCAAACATCAGCACACATGTCCAGGCCTGCTGGAGGCCTATGAAAAAATGTACAAATGGAAATGTGAGACTCATCTGTTATAAATTACTTAGGGCTGTCATAGAATGTCTCCTTTGATCTGAGTCCATTCTCAGACATCTGCACACAGTGTTGCTTAGAGACAAGAGTTTATCCACAATGCCCCAGATCATAAAATCATCTTTTTCTAAAATCTGAAATATAAAATTAGGAGAAAGGATAAACCTAAAGCATAATTCGTTCTATATTATATTATTTCTAATAACCCTGTCGATGAAAAATGCATTTGGGATGCTGTGACACAGTCATGTGGCTTAAGACAGACAGCACCACAGACAGTGTAAACCAAATGGGTCAATGGTAATTCTGAAAGGTTTTTTGCATTACTGTATATTGAGGATAATTTTCCCATATACCAAGCATCAGGACGTGCTTTCCGAAGCTTGTCATATCCCATCATGCACAGCTGTATTAGACATACCCAGTTCTTGGCACCATTATAGAGTGAAACTCATCACACCACTTGCGCAATTTAACTTCTGTTGTCTAATTGCTAAAATATTTCAATCACAAAGTCAGATACCTCTTTAAACAGATCTGAGCACTATAGCTCCCCAGTTTCAGCAGAAACTTCAATATCAGCAGAATATTTTATATTTTTATTTGCAAAAAAGATTTGAAATTTGTCTGCTTCAGATTCACTCGCTGATTAAAGCAAGCTGTTTTGATTCGGACGCCCCCTCTTGGTCAGAGAAAAGAGCTGCATTTTGCAATAAAACTGACGCAGACGGGGATTTACATAACTGATACGCAAGTATGCATTCACCTGCGCTGCTGCGACAAGGAATTGCTTCTTGTATCGCTTTATACAGCAAATGCGTAGGCCTGCTTGTTTGCCAGTTACGTCAATCCTTGACAATAGGTAATGATTTAAGCTCTGGAACAATGACGAGCAGAAGCATCAAAACTAAAATAATAAGATGCACATCTATGTCCACACAGTCAAGCTTGAATAACTGTATTACGATATTTTTTCACAAGCAACAAGGGTAATAATAAAGCTGGAATCCAGCAATCTGTCCAACCTCATCCTGCACACTGAAACAAAATTTATTTAGATCAAGCTATTTCTGAGTGATTCTGAATTTCCTCTCCTTCATAGACAAAAAAGTATAGTCCATACGCATCTAGTTATTTTTTAATCACATTCATATTTTTTTTTTATAAATATGGGGAAGAAAGAGGGAAGGATGTCATTTTAATCAGACACAAATGCTCTAATCTGTTCCTGAATTAAGAGCAAGTACTGTAACACATTTAATAAATTACACGAAAAGCAGAGTGACCTGTTTTCTAGTCATGCTATTGAGTTTTATGAGTTGCATACTTCCCCTGCATGAAATGCAATTCGTACAGCAGCTACATTTCAGATGTTTATGGTCTAGGGACAGAAAGCAAAATATTCTACAATTAAGGGCCCTTTTCGAGGACTAACAGGGATTCGGTAGAGTCATGGCTGAAGACACACAGCCAAGATGAAATCATATTACAATATTAAAGAAGACCTACCTATCAAGTGGAGATTGGAAATGCCAGCAGGCTGTGGTGGGCCATACTAAGCCAGGATTTTGGTGTGACTTATCATTGCTCAGAAACAGAGCTAATCATGTCAACCACACAGCAGGATTAGAAGACAGGTGGAACCAATCAGAGCACAAAACCCAGGTTATCTGTCTCCCCGTCCTGAATAGCTGCTTTCATCCTTCTACCGGAGTTATATCACCTGTTTACATTTTCCTACTGACTTGGTTTTGATTTATCCGGAGTGTTTTTTTCTACCATTCTTACAGTCACTAAAAACTGTACCTTTTCACTGTACCTTCTATCTGCAGATAAATAATCATGGTGTCTGTTCTAACATCTCACATTGTGTAAATATGTTGCTTGTAGCATCCATATCTTACTTGACTTGTACTTTTACTTTGTGCCTATAGCATTACAGATATTTTTGATGAGAAATGTACGGAGTGTATTTATTTGTGCGGCTATAGATGTGTTTTTGAGATAGAGCGACATAATGCAAACACTAACAGGCAGCATTAGTAATATCATAATAAAAATGTTTCTGCATCTATCAATCCAGTTGTTTTCTATACCCACTTGTCTTATGTAGGGTCGTGGTGTCCAGAACCTAACCTGGATGCTAAGGGCACAAGGTAGGGAATAACCCAGGATGGGGTGCCAACTGTCTAAGAAAATCTCATATAAATAGCGGGCAGCAAAATTCCTTAATATTCCCAATCCGATGCCATTGAATGTACCGGTACTCACTCTGGCGTGTTGATCCAGATGATGCCCCGATGACAGTAGTACACACATTCCTTGTCTTTGTAAGAGTAGCATGTGCACCGTTTTGATCTTATAGGAGGCCTTGACATCTCACACTCGGGGCACATGACATCCACCACTGTTCCTCTCGGATAGCCAGCTGGCTCCACTGTGGGATGCTTCACGAGTTCCACCAGCTGCCCTGTCTGATGTCCCGTCAGCTTGTTGACATCTGTGCTGGTTGGTGAGGAACCTTCAATTGCACCAACGGGGAGATACAATAGAAGTAAAGCACTAAACAGAATTATTGAAATGGACTGAACACTACAATAAAACTGATGTAAAAAGAGCAATTATGTTGTTTTCAGGGAGCTGTTTGATTTATATTTGTATACTACTTATGCTGTACTGTATATCCATCATACAAAAGTGTGAATTATTGCTGGTTTCTCTCCCGGTTAATTTTCTTTTATAAAGCTAGAAAGTTTCAAGTAAAGCATGATAATATTTATGCGTACAAAAATGATCCTGTAATTAGGAAAATGTATTAAATGTACTCACAAAGCCCAATTGTTTTTTTCGGACCTTAAAACATGCCAAAGGTTTGGTTAAATTCAGGCAAAATTTTCAAAATATTAATTTTTATAAAAGTATGAACAAGTCATATACAGCAAATGCACACTTAAAAATCGGAATTCAAACAGCGTTCGTATTCTGGGTTAAATGGGCAATCTTGTTTTTAAAGTTTTATTTATGTGAATATCATATAAACGCCATGTTGTCTTTTGTAAGCGACAATCTAACAGGACTGCATGCCTTTTGGACTGTGGGAGGACGCAGTGAGAAACGCGAAGAGCCTGTAGAGGGAGCAGGAAGCTCCAAGTCCAAAGCGCTATTCTTCACACCGCTGTATTTTATGCGATTAAACGGCTGTTGGTTTTAAACAATCTTGGAGGATCGGACATATTACAAATAATAATATACGTATACATTATCCTAAGCAACGCCTGGGATTGTGTGTCATGATTTAGCATACAGCAGTAATCAAGCGGAAATGTCACATACGTCTAAGCTTCCATGGTGTAGCGCCGATGTCTATGGTTTTGAAATAGTTGAAAATAGACATAAAACATACCCCTTGCCACTGCAGCTACAAGTTCTACCAAAAACAAAATCCCAAGGGTGAAAATGCAAGAATTAGTCATCTCAAAATAATAACCAAAAACAAAGTTATCCAGGAAAAAATAGCGTTTTTAAATATGCAGATCAAGAAATTGCCCAAAAACAGAAAAAAGCAAAATTCAGAACAATATGCCGAAAAGCCAGACTGATAAATTTAAATAACACAACAAAACACTTGTTGCACTTGCAGGAATATCTTATATACCCATAAATGAGCACTTCATTTCTTTTTTTCGGTTCAAACCAGAGTAAAAATTCAGGTCACAGGCGTGACTGAAGTAGAAGGCGACTCTCTTTCATCGTCCCTTGTCATGTACCGACGACTGGGAAAAGTCCCTCGTTTTGAATAGGAGATACTGTAAGGACTTCCCACGCTACACAAGCCGCAAAGCCATTACTAAAGAGAAACACCACCACCCGCTGGGCGAGACAGAAGAGCACAGGCGTCCCCTCAGCGCACCCACACCCGTGCGTATCCCGAATATACTACCGTGAAATTATTGCCATTTGAACCCTTATGTGTTATGTTTTCCTGGAAATAGTACAGCCCCTCACGCTTTTTAAAAGAGATTGACATTGCTTACACAGTACCTCTCTTGTTTATACATACTTTAATCTCTGCAATTGATTTTTATGCGTCTGGTTTCCAGTTTGTAATAATTGTCATTTATAGCAACTACAATCTGTACACACACACACACACACACACACACACACACGCACAGGTTTGTAATTATATGTTTCAGGGGACTCTCCACTAATTTCTATGGGGACAACTCTAATTCCGACACGACGACCTTAACTCCCACCCAGCCCTAACCTTAACCATAAGTAACCAAACAAAATACGAGACTTTTAGCGCTTGTACCCTTTTGATTGCATTCATGGATCTTTCTGGGGACCCAAAAATGGTCCCCACAATGTCAAAAAACGGGTTTTTATTACATTGTGGGGGACATTTGATCTCCACATAGTAAAATAAACGTAATCCACACACATACAGAGACGCACACGAATTTTACAGGAAACACAGGAAAAGTGGAATAAATTTTTGGTTTTCATCTGTTTTCTCCCTTCTTTTTTTATTCAGTGTAAGTGAAATACGATAGGAGCTGTTAGTAGCGTCGAGCTAGCTGTGCAATTTCTCTTTTGTATATAGCATCATACAGCAATTTTCTTTTTTTCCTGTGCTCCAAATGTGAGTCAATTGAATTATTCTCATTTTGGATTCAATTAATTGGCTTCTGATTATTTCTCCATTCCCATGTTGGAGAAATTATCCTCCTTTTTTCCCACTGCCTGCATTTTAGGCTGTTTTAAATCACTACTTAATTCACCCAAATTTTCCACTTTTTGAATTTAAAAAAAGTTTTCATTTTTATTCCATGGAGAGGATAAATGCATCTGGCAAAAAAGTTGATAAATTGTACGCATATTCATGCCTCAGCCTTAGAAGAACAGAACAGAAGATTAGAATTCTAAATATCTTTAGAATGCTTTGCCCAGCACTCTGCACAAAACAGCCTCTAGCTTTCAGAGGTGGATCATGCAAAAAATGTATGCATGAAATGTATAGCAATGTCTATCTGACAGACACTATCTGAGTAGACCCGAGGTATCGTATGCTGTGAAACCTACACATCTGGATTTAGTTTACACTGAGCTTCAGGATCTTAACCACAGTAACCATGTAGATACCTTGGGAGGAAAAGGCTTTTTTTCCAGAAAGTGTTTTACAAGTTCTTCCACACCTGTCACTCGTGTATTTTGTGTAATGACAAACGAGTATTGCACCCAGCAGAAAGCAAACTACCAGTAGTAGTTTGATGAGGGGTTCTGGAGTGACTGTTGAATTTTATAGCCAGTAGATTTTGGTTGCGCTTTAAAAACCTCAAGGCGTGAAGGCTTAAACGCTTATTCCCCATATGATTTGAGAGATACACTTATTATAATTTATTATTTTTTAATTGGCGCTGATGTCTGAAGTTAGTTGACACTGTTTAGAAGCAGATAAAAGCATTTCACATGTGTCAGCACCACCTGCAAGATTTCTGCAATGGACCGGCAAGCAATGCAAAGGGAACCCCTGCTGTCTGACCTATGCTGTCTGCGGTGGGCCTCAGCCCACCCCTGTGATCCTGACTAGCATTTAAATAGCTGAAAGTTGGATGGCTGGGTGACCAGACGAACAAGTCTGTTAGTGTGCTCCTTTCTCATTGAAAAGTATTTTTAGACTAATTTTTATCTTTGTTGTTCTTCTTGGCAATGGATCCTTTTTATTGTTGGTGGTGGTATTTAGTCTGCGGTTTGGGAAGCTCTTCAGTATCAGAGGCATTTTAAACCTGTGATGAAATACAGGCGAACTTTCTGGGCAAAGTATTCAGTCAAGGATAGGTGTTGAACAAGCTCTGTTAAAAGATAATGTTTACAGAAATCACTGTGTATATCTTAAGAAGTGTCAGACAGCTGCACACCTTTTTATTTTGACTCTCTTTCAAAAAGGAAAGGAATGCAGACTTGGGTTGGTTACTTTGGGGTTGTGACCCCATGACACTCCGGAGAAGGTCAAATAAATCATGCCTACATACCAGTGACAGCTTGGGTTTTTCTTGGTGACTCAGACACATTTCCTCTAAAACATTTTCTCTCCTCTACTCCTATGTATGTTGAAATGAATTAATCCTGACAATTTGCAGCCAAGGTAAACCATGGGATTTGGGGTATAATGCACCCAGGAGACCCTGCCTTACCTTAGATCCCTTATTATGTACCACTACAAATATTTCTCTGGAGTTTCAGGTCTTTATCGGAGGACGGTCTGACTGGGGAAAATGTGCTTACAGCTACCATAGCCTTGGACAGCCCAGATTTACTTCCTCACAGACAACAACAGACACTTGAGGTGGGGGGGGGGGGGGGGGGGGGGGGGGGGGGCTAGGCTGCTACCTATGCCCATCTCAGGAAAGCCAGTCAGTTACCCAGGGTTGTGTTTGTTTCATTCAGTATGTCCCACATTCATGACTAAAGGTATAAAATAATGTGATCTTTCTCACCTCCAGCAAACCTGCCCGGACACCGATGCCCATCCACTGACTCCTACTCCATATCGTTGTTGCTCTATATAGTTATTATGTTATTTTCAGGTATGCGCATCACTGTTATGCAAGTACGCTTTTGCCAAAGAAAGCAATATGTGCATCAATTTCTTGTCATAACTGTGCAGATGCAAACTTGTTTTACGCGCATTTGCTCTGCTATGACAAGAAATTACCTCACATGTTAACATTTTTACGGCTACTTTGCAATTCATTAGCGGTATAAAGGTATAAACTGTTGCACATATCACTTTATATGGTGCATGCACACTTGCAAACCAGTTATGAGCATCCCTGGCTATTATACTTGGATTCTTGGATATACGCTAAAGCAGCAGAGATCACTAAGGCCAGCAGCTCTGCTGTAGAATGCATACTTTGTTTCCAGCTCCCTGTGGGCAGATGGATAATCGCAGCGAATGACAAATTTCTTAATGGTTGACGGACGTAAATTGAAAGCACAGTTCTTAATCTAACCGTAAAACGAACAGATCAAATGAGTCATAACCATCATTTTGTAATATTTCCTTTTACCCTTCATTGTCAACCAGTCTTCTTAAATATATTTACATTCAGAATAGTGCATAAGACAAAAAGAACCTATTGCCATAACATAGCATAACTTTGGGTTGAGCATTGGCGGGGTTGAGATCTCCACCCATTTAAGGTGGTCCAGGGGGTTGTAGTATTGGATGGTTTTGATTATTGAGGGGGGGGGGGAGTTACAGCCCCCCATCCCCCAATAATCTATGCCCATGGCTTAATCCAAAACTCCATCTTCCAAGCTGATATCTGCTATGGGGTCACAGGAAGTCTATCTCAGGAAGCTGAGGGCACAAGGCAGAGAGATACCCTGGACAGAGTGCCAGGCCATTGCTGGGCACATACACAACCGGGCACCATGGGCAATGAAGCCAGGTGGTCAGAATGCATAATTTTGCACTGTGGGAGGAACCCAGAATTCCCGGAGGAAACCTATGCAATACAGGGAGAGCATGCAAACTCCACAAAGAGTCGTTAATTCGTTTAATGAGTACTTCAGTTTTGTGTTGCCCTGTATCACGTGTATCACAAAAACTCTATGATCGATGGGGTTCAGCAGCCCCGTTTCATTCAGAATGTACACATCTAATACACCTGGATGCCCAGGCAGCACTGAGGCAGCCACTCTGAATGCTAAAAGTTGTCATGTCTGGACAGAGATGATGTCTGCTGTCAGCCAGCGGGACATTTTTGTGGAAAACTCATTCTCATTAATTCTTTATCTCCTGATCTGCAGCACCTTGGAAATGGCTCATTGGGTTTGCTTGGGCTATTTTAAAGTGGGAATTGTGTGATTCTCTTTCTAAAAGAGGAATTTCCAGGTCAGGCAAACATAAGCTCTGTCTCTAGATCAGCATCTAAAGAGTGAAGCATTATTTCTGCTGGTGGTTTTCTGATAGCATTTCAGGATTATTCTTGTTTTGTAGCCCATGCAAATGAACATCCCACCATTCTGTCTGTTTATTTGTTTGAATATGTTCCTAAATGGAAACCACTTACTTTTGTTTCTGTTTGAAATAGAGAGTATATGGAGGTATAGTGTTAATGCTTGGAATGAGGCTGTGAAAAGACATGTTCTCACAAAACTGTGCAATGTTTGGAACGTCGTGATTCTTTTTTCATTACACATTTCCATTTCTTGAAAAAAAGTCTTTCTCCTATTAGAATACATTAACATTGTGAAGACTTCTCAAAAGAATTATCACTATTAATTATTATTAAATTATTAGTGGCAACAAATAGGCTTCATTCAAAAGTTTTATTCTTCAAACAGTTACCTGTTGTTCTTACTCACCAGTTTAACTCACATCTTATATATTTGTAATGCACCATGTCGATAAATAAACATTCAGTGGATATGACTTACCAAGCTACTATTTTCTACCTGTAGGTTATGCCTGAAATGCAAAATATCAGTTGTCTTGGTGACCTAGGCACTAATACGATTCTTGATATATATGCACCTGGTAAATGATCATTTAAACTATGCACAGAAAAATTCTGCCTGCAGCTGCAGTGAACTCAGTTAAAGGTACTAGGCTTGTACACTATGCAGAAGAATAAAATGTTGGCTTGTTTATTTGGAAAGGTATACTAAGAAAAAGTTGAATCATGATTACATCCAAGTCTTAAACATGCCAAGTTCACTTTGCAGTTTGTTCTTGTTTGGGGGTGAGATGTCCATTTTATGGTTTATGACAAAGCTTTCATTTGCTTCTGTAACACTTAATATGACAATATTTGACTGACACCTCTTCTACATAGCTTAAGGCTCCCTGGTTATATCAGCCCCAGATATTTCCAGAGAAACCTT